GCATCACAGTATGGTAAGGGGCGTAACATTTCTGTCACACGCTTGAGGTATTCGGCCAATCACAACGCACTGGATAGCTGGCCAGTCACAGCACACCTCGCTTTTTCAGATCGATGAGCTTTGTAAAAATCGACGCGTTTCAGAAAGGCGGGGCATAGAGAAGAAACAATAATGTACAGTATGTGGAAAATAATGTGTTTTTTTAACCTTAAACCGCATAAACACATTTCATTACACCAAATACACAAAATAATGTTCTTTTTAGCAGCATCATATGACCCCTTTAAGTTGGTTCCTTTTAATCTATTGGTCAAATGGGTTAGCAAATACAGTAAGAATCAGTTCGCGATTCAGTCTAAATGATTCAGATTCATTTCAAGGATCGTTTTGAGCCTGTTCTCGCTTAAACCAAATACTTTCATGTATACTATTGGTCCTTTACCGTGAGATCTATTTATCTGACAGAAGTAGATCTGCTATTGTTCCAGTTGTGTATTGTGTGTTTTTTTTTCGCTTGTCTGCTGATGAGTTTTAAATACTGAGTCATCAGTCAGATGACATAAGGTTCAGGTGACACATTACATGACTACAAATTGCTGTAACAACCACAAATGAACAGTGTGCATTCCTCTGCCATTTGACTAAAAGGCTACAATGACTAAATAGCTTTTTTTGTCTGAGGCCGTTTCATCTGAGCCCTTTTTGTCTACGACCATTTCACCTGATGCCTATACGAGGATATTACAACAATGAATCATACATTGCATTTATTCTTAAAATCACTCACAGACATTGGCTGACAAAAATAGGTTGTGTTCTTTATAAAAACAAAGCTGTGATGTCTAGAATAGTTCTTCTTAGAAAGTACAACTCCTCTTGCTGGAGCTGGAAATAACTAGTGAAACTAGCAGGGCTTATCAGCAGGAGCACAGCATGAGCATGTAAGGTAACAATAAAGCGCTATATAAATGCATCATTCATTCATGATGCTTATGCACACAAAGTCTATGATATTTTCATATTTTACAGTTTGATTTGAGACCTTTGTTGTCATACACCAGAATTGATGGGTTCAGTATTTTAGTAATAAAGCTGTTTTGTGTAAAGCGGAAATCAAACTGTTAGCATCATGTGTGCAGGAATGGAAAAACACTCTTCAACCACACGCTAATCACACATACACGTGCAAACTGACCACAACCCACCAGCAATAGACAATGCTCACGCAAAAGATGTTTTTCCACCAAACAGATCAAAACTTTGTACAGTCTCTTAATTTTTTTTTTATTATGAGGAAGCAAAGTGTTTCTTGTTTGTTGTTTAAGAAAACAAAATATTTTTGAGGCTTCAAATGTCAAACATGAAAATGCTCCAGTGAGCCACAAGATTTAGATAATGTGTTAGAAGTCATAGAATTACAAAGCAAAGTCTTTTCATTAGTCCATCTCTGAATGTCATACTGCAGACCCTTTAGAATCATTCTGCTGTGTGTCTGCTGGGATTTGGAAGGTCTACAGTAAGTTTGATTATCTACTCATGGCAACAGATACATATGCAACGTCATCCTCTTCCCCATGATCTTCCGCTTTTATTTTCTGTAAAAACAAAATGTAATAATAATAATTAATACAAATTAATACAAAAAAAAAAATGAATTAAACTTTGTATGGAAGATTATTTATGGAAGCCTGTTTCCGCCACTGAATAAAAAAATTCAAAAAGGTAATTATGACTTATATATCTCACAATTCACAATAGCGAGAAAAAAAAAGTCAGAATTCTGAGATGAAAAGTTGCGATTACTTTTTTTTTTATCCTGTGGTGGAAATGGCAGTGGTTTTGCTTCAGTGCTTTAATGTAACATTGAAGTTTTATTATACTGACAAGAACACACATCTAAATCTGACTCACCATTGAACTGATGCAGAGACAACAGTACACAGTCATAAACGATCTTACCGATTTCTGTGCGTTTCGTTTGTAGAACGTTGGTGGTTCAGCGTAAGTCTCGTCTGCACAGCAATAATAACAGATACATTTACACAAGGAAACATTATCTTTACTAGATCTGTTTCTTTGCCACGTGTGTTATTAGGGCTGTCAAAGTTAGATTGTTAAAGCATGCAATTTAATATGTTTAATGCTGCATTACAAGGTCTTAATTGCATTAACAAATCAATTCAGCTTGACATTTAGAAGTGTTTCACACATTCTAGTCCTAGCAGAGTATCATTACCATTATTAGAAATACATACTTTGCAGATAGTTTATAAATTAAACCCAGAGAATTAAGTTTAAATGGGTTATTAGCATTTTTTTTTTGAATGAAATTTCATTTTCACAGAAGCTTAACAACTGAAATATCACCCATCAATGACATTTTCTTGAAAATCTTCATTTGAACACCAGTGGCGCTCTGCATCTTTACACAGATAAGATTATATTCATGAAGTCTGTAAGAAGCTACTTTATTATTGAATCAATACAGATTTGCATTTTTGTTTTGATGCAGGTTGAAAAATGTGACATTTTATTGCTATTGTATGTATTTTGGTATGAGTGTGTAATATACAGAAATAGAGAACAACATCAACAAAAAAAATGATGAGAATAACTGTGATTAATTGATCATTATGGCTATCAATTGATTACAATATTTAGAGTGCACATTTAAAGTATTATAGGTTATAATACTTGTTAAAAAGCTGTTAGGAAACGGGGAGGACTCTTGCCTTCTTTATATTCACTTTAGAAATTTCCATTAATTTTCTGTGTCTTTTAATATAAAATGTTAATAGACATGGAAAATTATGAACGTTTCTATATATTTCAATGACTTTTCTAAACCCTGGAACTCCCAGATTTCTACCCAAATGGAAATCACAAACCGAAACCTGAATTCAAAGTAGATCTCACAATAATGTCTCATGAAAACAGTCAAATTTGTAGCAGTGGCTTGTTCTGAAATGGATAAAAATGAAGGCATAAAATGCTTTTATAACTTACCAATCAGACGCCACCAGCACAAACAGAACAAAACAAACATATAAAACATTTTCCTTGTCTGAACTACTATCCACCAAAAGCTGTCTGTTAATCTGTGTGAACCTGAATCCTCCCCCAACAGCATCTGACCCTCATATATCATGCTCACACTCTTTGAACACGTGTATATTTACATGGTATTTAATGTTTCATGTATAGTTATATAATATATCAATGTTCTTCTGGTCCTTATTAAGACTTTAATACATTCCTAATTCCTTATCATTTAACATATAGTTAAAGTTTTTGAAACTTTAGTTTTTAGTTTCTAGATAGTTTTTGAAAGCTAATTGCCTGTCTATGTTAAATAAGTAAGTAGAAGAATATTGAGTGAATCTCCTTGAATTTAATGATAACAGAGTTAATTGGCTTTGAAATGGTTATAATACTTTGATTATTAATTGTTGAGTTTGGCAAAACAAAAAAAGTTGACACCGGCCACCCTCTCACATCATTAGTTACACTACCACATTAGCCCTTCAGCTTCCGAGTCAAACTGACACCTGCTGTGGTCTGACAGAAATGCTGTTTGAACAAACAACCTGTGCATGTGGTGAAGAGCTCTGGACTTTTTCTTTTTTTGAGATGTCATATTTCTATAGGCCTTTTAGACTCTCATTCCAGCTGACACACACACGCATACACACAGGTTTGTTTTAATGGTTTATGGGGACTCTCCGCAGGCGTAATGGTTTTTATACTGTACAAACCGTATTTTCTATTGCCCTACACCAACCCTACACCTAAACCTACCCCTTACAGGAAACTTTCTGTCTGTTTAGATTTTCAAAAAAACTCATTCTGAATTATTTATAAGCCTTTTGGATTACGGGGACACTGAAAATGTCCTCATAAATCACCTTCTCGTTGTAATACCTATGTCATACCCATGTTATTATACAAATTTGTGTCCTCATAAACCACATAAACATGCACACACACACACACACACACATATATATATATATATATATATATATATATATATATTTAAGCTACTGCCTTTGCTCATCGCATCTTGTGAGCATTGCAGATTTTTGAGCCAGTCATGTGAACCAAAATGCCATGAAATTAATTACAATAGAGCCACAGGAGAATGGCTTCATGAGAGCTGATTGGCTGATGATGGCATCAGAAAAAACTGTCCCTGTACAATCCTGAGCTTTGACATCAAAGGCAGCAGAAACTTTTTAATTAATTAATTAATTTATTTATTTTTAAGAAAAAGAAGAAGAAAAAAAATGGACACTCTTTCATGCGTTTACCAGATCAAAGCAATCTGGTGGCGAAACTTCGGAATTTCGAAATGTTTCGAAACCAAGGTTCGATACAGTTTCCGAACCACTGAATCGAAACAAAAGATTGATGAGCTTCACGAAGTGTTCCGAAAGCTCCCATCATCACTGCCGAATGTTTACACCGTGTCTACACCGGACGCCACAACAGCTAAAGGCTGTTTACACTGGACGCCAAAATACAAACGTTGCGAATCATTTATACTTTGTGTCAGTACTTCATAAACAGAGCATCAGTTTACTGTCGGGAATTTGTCGTGTCGCATCCAGTTTAGACGGCTTCAATGATTAGGCTATAAAGGGAGGGTTCTATTGTCTTTTGCGCGCCGCTCCGTCCGGTATGTGACACGGTGTTACTTTCATTTTAGCTTTAACTTGTCATTAATACGGATGAGAGGCACCTTTGTTTCACAGAGTCTACATTGATTTTTTTTTTTCTGATAAAAGTGTTGAAAATGAAGTTTCCCTTTATTTTGCTGTCAATTTGTTTGTTTTTTCCTGAACATGGTAAGACATTATATACAATTTATTTTCCGGTCGATTTTTGTGTGTGCTAGATCTAGACCTAATTGCTCTGTATTCGACATAAGTTTAATGTTTTTATTTCGCTCGAAGTCTGTGTTGAGTTTGTGTAAAATATGCTACAATCTCTTTTTCGGCCGACAAACGACGAATGTGTTTCGTTTTGTGTCAGCTCTCACTTTACACTAGACGGAACTGTTGTTTTAAGTCCAGGATGAATTGAAGTGAAATGTTTGTGATGGCTTATAAGATGTGGACACGAATAGTTTTCGACACGTTTCTGTGGGT